CAAGTTGTGCCAGGGGAGGTTCAGATTGGATATTAGGATATTCTTCTCTGAAAAAAGCGGTGCTGCAGTGGCACAGGCTGCCCATGGAGGTGGTGCAGTCACCATCCCTGGAGGTGTTCCAGAGCCGTGTGGATGCGGCACTGAGGACATGATCAGTGGGCATGGTGGGGATGGACTGGAGGTTGGACCTGGTAATCTTAGAGATCTTTTCCAGCCTTAATGATTCTGTAATTCCACGCTGACAAGCCCTAATGAGTGGACCTCTGCCATTATGCTTTTTATTCTTCTAAGGCACAATTTACGTGGACTGCCTGTGCAGTGCTGCAGCCACCTGCCTTGCCATGACAAAGACAACCACTGGGTGCTGCCCATGCCATTCCTTCCCCATTGAGGTCTCACATCCTCTGTGTCTCCAGACAATGTTGCCAAGACTTCAGTTATCCTGACAACTTTGTAACTTGCCTTCACATGCTCACCTTTGAGGACCACTGGCTGGACATAAAACTGTTGAAACAGATTCAGAAGTCCAGTTTTTAGGCCACAGCTAAGTTCTGATCACAGGGATGCTCTGCTTGTGTTGAGGCTTGAACCATCCCAAATGCCCATAACTCCTATGCCAAATGTCAAGAGCTAGATGACTACACAGCACAAGGAGTCACAGCTGCTAGATGCAGCATAGAGAAGTGGTGAGAAGTATAGGGAAGCACTCAGAGCAGGGAATGAGATGGGGAAATCCTAATTTCCTTCCTGGAGAAGAGCTGTCACAAAATAACTTGATTTTTTATCCTGCCTCTTTTATTCTGGATCTGCCCCTTGCAGCACAGGTGAAAACTAGTGGGAGAGTTTGGGGCTGTCATTTTTTTTTTCCCCAATGAAGGTGTAAAATACATGACATACTGCAAGGAGCTAAGGGAGAGAGAGCTAAGACAAACAGCCCCCTCTTTGCCCATCTACCTCCCCACCCATGGGGTACAGCAGAAGCAATAAGCATTTGCATGCTCAACAACATCCCTCTTCCTGAGCATCTCACCAGCCAGAAGGGTTTGCTGTGTCCCTGCAGCAATCAGCAGTGGTCCTGCCTGCAAGATGCTGCCAGCAGGTTGCTCCTCCGGGGGGAGAGTGGGGAGGGAATTGCAGAGTGCTTTGCACTGCCACCCCCATCTCACAGAACAGAACCTGGCAGAGCCGAGCCACCCCCCCCCCCCCCCCGCTACACCATTTTGCAACACACAGATGCTCTCTGCATCCCTCTCATCTCCCCTCCACCCCCTCCTTCCACCCTGCTCCTCCGTCACCGAACCCGCTGTCTCCCACCCCCTCCCCTGCACTCTCCTCCTCTCTTCTCACTCCCCTCCTGTATTTCTACCCTTTTCTCTCTCCATTTCACTCCTTTCTCCCTTTCATCCCTTCTCCCATCGCTCAGCCCCTCATTCTCATTCTCTGCCGCCTCTCCTGCGCCGGGTGCCCATTGGTTGTCAGGATCCGTCCCCCACCAGCTGCCACCCCTCTCCATCTGCCGCCCCTGGCCGCCAAGCCCCCCTCTCTGCAGATTGACGGTGGACCAGGGGATTTGTTGGGGTCCTCAGAGCCACTGATGTGGGGCTGAGGGGCCTGGCACCCCTGGATGGCCACGGCCACGAGTGGGCCCTGGGGGTGAGGAGGAGACGTCCCGCAGCAGTCAGGGATGGAGCGATGGGCAGGTCCAAGGAAGAAGGACTTGTGGCTCTGCTGATAGGATATTTTAGACTCCCTCCCTTCTGGGACTGCTTTCCTTTAAAAAGGGGAAGGGGAAAACTATGACACGGATTCTCACGGTGAAGCAGAGGAAAATGTGCATTCCAACGACACGTAAGTACCAGGCAGCTCTGTCTGCTCTTCCCAGCTGTCTCCCGCGGGCATGAGTCCATGCAGAAGTTAACTCTGCCACCCCACAGAGGAAACATTCTGACTCCCAGCTCTGCCAGCACCCTGCCACCTTGCTCAACCTGCAGTGAGGCAGGGGCTGTCCTGAGCTGGAACAGGACCTTGGCAAACAAGGTGGGGAGGGTGGCAAGGAGGTAGCAAGTTACCGGGCTCAATGGTCTCTCCTGGCTTTTAGCCCTGCTTTGTAGACAGGCTTTAGCATCCTCCTCCTCCCAATCAATGCAGAAATGTAGAAAAATGTCTATATAGATATATAGATACTTAAATTGGTTGCACCAACTCCCAGCTTCCTCCTATCTCTCTGCCCACACCTGCTCTCCAGCTGTATGGGCCAGATGTATTCTGGCAGCACCTGTTGGAAGATCCCAAGTCTCCTTCCACAGATTCTGTCCACATCATTAGGAACAAACCCCAAGCAGATGCCAACACACTTCAGTCCGAAGCCAGTTTTCCTTGCCACTTTCCACCTATGCATGTGCTGCCAGAGCAGTGTGGATCCAGCCCAAATTAGGTACTGATGTTCTGTGGTTGTTCTGTCAAACTAGCCAGGGCATTTGATGTGGAGTTTGAGCTGGTAGATGGTGCCTGACAAAGTTAGTGGGGCACAGATTGACCACCCCTGCTTAAAGACAAAGTTTGCCCACCAGGATTGTACGAGCAGGAGAATTCATCTTCTGCTCCTTACAGTGAATCAGTGTTTCATATTGCATGCTTTAGCATTTTTATAGGGTTTTTGGACCTCTGAAGCTGGCTTTAATGTATTGCTAAACAACAATCTGAACAACCAGCTTTGAAGTCTGGACCCCAGATATTTCCCCATATGCTTTTCATACCATCACAGGTGTCCTCATATGTATTTATCATTTGTGGGGCTTTATCTCCAAATGCCCTTTTGGAAATTCCTGTGCATGTAGAAGGAACATCCTAAAGGGATTTCTAACAATGTCCCCACATTTTAGAGGATCATCTTTTTATGTACACATTGTTCTGTTCTCTGTTTATGTTCACAAGGATCTTTTTCCTCAGAGTAGACATTTCCTTCTCCTTCCTCCAACAAAGGCTAATGGGCACATATGTCACTGGAACAGCAGTGGAAAAAGATCTTAGAGCTTGGAAACAAGTGTCAAATTGCATCTTACTCTGTCCATTCATTGCAGATAATCATCATGCATGGGACAGCCCAGTACTGCAGAACCTCAAGAGATGGGCTTCCATCAAGACAGTGTGTCATGTCACAGCCCAAGGCACCTTCACATAAAGAAATGCAAACAATTCCAGTCCTTCAAAGCTCATTTAAGTATAGCAGGAAACATTTATGCAATAACCAATTGCATAATTAAGAAGTTGTGGATGCCCCATCCCTGGAGGCATTCAAGGCCAGGCTGGATGTGACTCTGGGCAGCCTGGTCTAGCGCCCCTGGCAGGGGGGTTGAAACTGGGTGATCCTTGAGGTCCTTCTCAACCCAGGCCATTCTATAATTCTATGACTGGGCTTACGACATAGTTGTCCAGTTGCCTCTTCCTGCGGTCTGTCAGATGAGGTTCTTTCAACATAAGATATGGCACACCACACTGAAGTCTGCTGGGTTTTGCCTATCTGATACCTAAGAACCATCCAAAACTGAGCTCTGCCCTGAGGTTTCCAAAAGCTGCAACGACATCAACAAAAAAGACAAAAAGTTGTACATCAAGACATACATGAACAATATTGAGATCCTCTGTAGACTCCAACTGGGAGAAAATTTTCTGGAGAGCTTCTGGCCTCCTGCACATAGTTAATGTTTGGAGTTCTTTCCTTTGAGATCTCCAGGTTTCATTTCAAGAGTAAAAGAGCTTCAGAACCCTGAGAGATCTGTATGAAGGGGAACCTCAGGTCCCTGGCATTTCCACCAAGCCATCACAATTTCCAAGGAGCCGGTTCTCCAGAAAATTTTGCTACAGCTGGAGTGACTCTGAAAACATCACACATCTGCCCTGCATAAGTTATGCCAACAAGTCTCTAGTTTGGACTCCGTTATATTTCTAGAGCCCTGACTGAGGACAAAAGGCATTCTCTCCCCTTCTCTGTCTCTCCTCTCCCTGCAGCTCTGCGCCCAGTGTCAGCAGAGAGCTGGTAGAGGACAGAGAGTTTGTTTGTTCAAAGCTCTCTCTGAGTGAGCTGAGAGTGCGGTTTCCATGCCAAAGCCTGATGTAATGGGCAATTGGGCAACTCAGATTAGGAAGCCTGGGACACTGCTTTGGTGTTGTGAACAGCTGGGGCAGGCAGAGCCACCTCAATTAACAGGGAGCAAGAGGAGAGAGAGAAAACAAGCCAAAGAGACAAGGGAGAGCTCTGTGCTTATCCCTCCTGAAGTACCCAAAATAATGTAGCTCTTATTTTACTTTCAAACCAGCATAACACAAAACAGCAACTCTTCAGCTCAGGTGCTGCTCTCAGTTTCCAGGCTTGAAGTAAGTGTGGAGATGCTTTAATTTCTGCTGGTGAGGCTAACAACCCCATGGTGACCTCCCAAGTCCAAAATGAGCTTCAGGAAGAGAATATTCGGTGAATGGAGGATCCAAAGATTCCATAGGCACTTTGTCCCTGGATATCTCCCCCTCTTTTGTTCATAAGGCACCTGCTCCTCATAAATGAGAATTAGGTCTCTCATATCTGCTCCTCCAGTGCTGTAGCCATCAACAGAAAACAAGGAATTTCCCCGTACCTAACCTACTCTTCCCGGATGATCTTTTCCTAGAAGAGAATATCCTCTTATCCCACACTGAGTCACGTCCCTGTTTATCCTGCTGTGCCTTCTGCACCTCTCAAGTCTGGATGGGATCAGTACTGTTCTGCATGTTCCAGTGGCTGCCTGTACCCACTCACCCATCTCAACTTCCCACACCTGTTCAACCCGTAGACGTGAAGATGTAGACCCGTAGATGTAGACCTGTAGATGTAGAACCGTAGATGTGAAGGTTCTATTCATGGCTTGTTCAGCTGTCAAATTGCTGCTGTAAATTTCTTCTCTTCTCACCTCCAGGTTGCTAATTGATCCTGCAGGGAGACTTTCCTCACCTTCTTTTCTGCTTCTGCTATGGACACTTCTGCTTTCAGCCTCCCCACGCCAACAGTGTCAGAGGAGGGGAATGCCTCTGATAGCTGGGCAGGCTTCATCAGCCCCAACAGCTCCACCACCACCACCAGCCCTGGTGTGGTTGTCAGCGGTGTCCTCATCCCCGTGGTTTACCTCATCGTCTGTGTGGTGGGGCTAATTGGAAATTCTCTGGTCATTTACGTGGTTTTGCGACACTCTGTGAGTGAATCAGTGACCAATGTCTACATCTTGAACCTGGCCCTAGCTGATGAACTCTTCATGCTGGGTCTGCCATTTCTGGCAGCACAAAATGCCCTATCCTACTGGCCATTTGGGTCCTTCATGTGCCGCTTGGTGATGGCCGTGGATGCCATCAACCAGTTCACCAGCATCTTCTGCCTGACAGTGATGAGTGTTGATCGCTACCTGGCTGTGGTCCATCCTGGGAAGTCCTCCAAATGGCGAACAGCACGAGTGGCCAAGGCTGTGAGTGCCACTGTGTGGATGCTGTCGTCCATAGTGGTGCTGCCCGTGGTGGTCTTCTCAGATGTTCCTTTAGGTATGAGCACATGCCACATCCAATGGCCAGAACCTGCCTCAGTTTGGCGAGCTGGATTCATCATTTACACTGCCACTTTGGGCTTCTTCGGGCCACTGCTGGTAATTTGTCTCTGCTATCTTCTCATTGTTGTGAAGGTCCGTTCTTCTGGCAGAAGGGTGAGGGCTCTGTCCTCTAAACATAAGCTTTCAGAGCGCAGGGTGACTCGCATGGTGGTGACTGTTGTGGCTGTCTTCGTCCTCTGCTGGCTCCCCTTCTACGTCCTCAACATAATCAATGTTGTTTGTCCACTGCCAGAGGAGCCGTCCCTCTTCGGTGTCTATTTCCTCGTGGTGGTGCTGCCATACGCCAATAGCTGTGCCAACCCTATCATCTATGGCTTCCTCTCCTACCGCTTCAAGCAAGGCTTCCGAAGGGCCATCTTCAGGCAGTCCCGCCGTGTCCAGAGCCAGGAAGTGCCAGAATGTCCCCCAGAAAAGTCTGATGATGAAGGAGAAGAAAAGGAGATCAGCAAGATCACCCAGAATGGCAATGACAGACAGGAGCGCCCTCTAAGCAGCAGGGCAGGAGAAAGCAATGAGCAAAAACCACTCCCTGAGGAGCCTGTGGGCTGTGAGAAGAGCAGCAAGCTGCATGTCAGCTATTTATGATGGAAGGGATGGTGCAGGGGAAAGAGACTGGGACATGGCATCCCTCCGTGCTATCCTATCTCAGAGACAATGTGAGAAGTTGATACAAGGCAATATTACAGATTATGCTTCAAGATGAAGAGGGCTCCATCAGCTTGTGGAAAAAAATCCAAAGCATTGTACTTGGCTTTGGAAGGGACACCTAAATATTGTGTGGCAAGAAGTAAAGGAAGGGCTGGATCTAGGGAGAGCAGAACAGGATATGGGAACAGGCAATATGGAGAGAGCAAGGTCTGTCCTATGCTGCATGATTCACCTTTGATCACCCACCTATGAAGAGCATGAGCTACCATGTGACTGGCACTTCAAGGAAATGCTCAAAAAGGTATAAGTGATGTGTGCCTCTGAAGATCTAGAACAGGCATCCCAGTGTCTTGGTTGTCTTCCTGTGGACATGAGAAGCGGTTTATCCTGGAGTAAGAACAAGAAGGACAAATCTCTGCAGCTAAGACCCACCAGCAGCCTGTTGCATGAATGGCTGACATCTTTTTAGCTCTTCAGAAAGTCTTAGGGACAACTTACCCCCTCACTGGTCCTGGCTGGAGACCACTCGATAATGAGAATTACACAGCAGTGCAAAAGGGACATTTCTTTCCCAAACTCTACAAACGTCAAGCTTTTCTGGTGACTGCACCCTGATAGAAGACGTAACGAGTAGAAAATAAGCCAGTGAGGCATGGGTTAGAGGCATGTTTCTTATAAACTGAACTGCCTTTTCTCTTTTTCTCTCCCTCAGCCTGGCTGTAAATAAACAAAATGCCTTTGGACTTAAAAGCCAACTGAGCAGAACAATTCTGTGTGTTTAGGAGAAGAGAGATGCTATAGATTTGGCTCTCCTGAGAATACACAATCTCTTTGATCTCTGTATAAAGGAATGTTTGGCTGGTACAGGAGATCAAAGTATGTATCAGCAGAGAATGGGGACAGGAAGGAGAGGAGGCCAGAGGGATCTCCAGTGTGTGTTGGAGGAGTCTGGGAAATACTAGCAGCTGATTGTTCTTGTGGGAAACTGTGGAGTGTTTGGCTCTGGATGGAGAGGAAATGATGTGCCTGCAAATGTTTGAAAGTGGTTGTATGTAAAAATTTGATCAGTGGACTGTATGTGTGTGAGAATGGCTGAACAGGGTCAAGGACTGAGGAGTCAGCATTGGAGGGGAATGCATAGGGGTTTGGCACTGTGGGATGGATACAGATATGTACAGATAAAGATTTGTGTGTGTGTGCATAAGTGCATAAAAATGCAGGTGAGGAAGAATGTTTATGCAACTGTGGGATGTTTAAGTGTAGGCATGCAAGTATATATAGCAGTGAGTGTGCATGTGACAAGTTGTGTCAGAGTGCGAGAGGGTGTGTGCTGCTGTGAGTGTTGGATGAGTGTGCATCAGCTGCTGGAAGGAAGCTGTAAGTGAGCCTGTGGAACAGCAGCAATGCACAAGGGTGGGTGGGATGAAGGTCTTTCCGATCACTTTGGCTTCATTCCTACAGGCTCTGTCTGTCCTCACACCTCGAGCTTCTCCATGAATGCTGTTGCTAAGCTACAGCCACCAAGAAGATTCTCATACCAGAGCCCCTGGTAGTGTATGGGCACTTTCGTCCACAGACAATTTAAAGTTCCCTTAGCTATGGAGATATAGACTCCAGGTAGGGTCTATATAGTCTACAAGAGCTGGCTGAGTGATAAAGAGATGTCTCACAGGACACCTGAAAGAAGACATGTGATGTGAAGGATGTCATGGGGGAAGTGCGCTAGGACAGGAGGCTCAGCCTCACTAGCCAAAGCTGAACTCCCAGTAACAGTACCAACCTTTTGCTTAGCTCCTCTTATAAAACACACTTACTCCCCTGAACAAGAGCAGTCATATGCTGAGGAGTGTAGGCTCAACTCATGGAGAAAAGAAAATGATTGGTAGCCAGTTTCTATCTTCTGCTACCTTTTCATATCCCCCCCTCCTTCCATACATGCACCAGCTCCCCACTCCGTAGGCTGTAGTGAGGCTGTAGTGAGAAAAGCAGCCAAACTATTCATGGCTGTGGGATTCACAATCTGTTGCACTAAAGAGGCTCCTTTTTTCTTTTTTTTCTTTTTTTTTTCCTTGGGAAGCTCCCACAGCACCCAATGGAGCACAGTGAAAAACTCTTAGCAGAATGAAGATGAACTGCTGAAGCCCCTGCCTGCCTAAAGGGTTAAAATGAGTAGAAAAGGAAAAAGATACGGCTACCAAGTAGCCAGACGTGTGGACAACGCAGCTCTTTAAATGGCAGCCTGTCCTGTGCTTCTTGCATCAATGAGTAGAGCAAAGTGAATGTGGAGCACAGCCAGCACAGCAATCCCTGTAGAACAGAGGAAAAACGATATCAACTATGGTGGTGGCTGATAGCCAGGGACTGAAAAAGGCATGGGATAAAGAATGAGGACCTTGCTGCAATCATAGAATCATTAAGGCTGGAAAAGATCTCTAAGATCACCTGGTCCAACCTCCAGCCCATCCCCACCATGCCCATTGACCACGTCCCTCAGTGCCACATCCACACGGTTCTGGAACACCTCCAGGGATGATGACTGCAACACCTCCCTGGGCAGCCTGTGCCACTGCAGCATCCCTCTTTCTGAGAAGAAATTTTTCCTAATATCCAACCTGAAAGCATCTGAGAGGAGTGAGAGGAGGCATAGTAAGCCACTGCTTTCCCTACCAAACTGAGCTGAGGCTTCACTTCACACGCCTTTGTAATTCCATCTGCTTCAAGTCACCATTCGAGAAACTCCACCAACTGGTTGACTTCTTAAAACACCTACATCTCTGAAGAGCCCAAGCACTGCAATGCCAGCACTGAGCAGGTATGCCAAAGAGACATCATTTTGGTACACCAAATGTGAGCCCAGTAAGAAGGCATCTCTGCAGGGGATTCAGCTGTGGAAAGCAACTCTGGGGTTTTAGTTTAAATAGGAGTTTAAAGAAAAAGGTTCACAAGTATCATAAGGGCAGGGAAGGACTGGAACAGGTTGTCTAGAGAGGTGGTGGATGCCCTGCCCATGGAGACATGCAAGGTCAGGCTAGAGAGGCTCTGAGCACCCTAACCTGCCTGCAGGTGTCCCTGTTCATTGCAGGGGAGTTGGACTAAATAGCCTTTATGGGTCCCTTCCAACTCAATTGATTCCATGGTTGTATTTTTCTGTTTTTGTTTTCTTCTCGCTATGCCACATCCTGCTGTTCAGTGACAAATTGAGGTGTGGGGGTGAGGGGGAATAATGAGATAAACCAAGAATAAAACTGGAGGAGGGGGGGAAAAAGGTATTTTTGCCTACAGTTCATGATGATAAAACAAACGTTACACAATTCTGCAAAGTATTCTCATCGATTAAAGGCTGTTGGGAATGACGAAGGTTACCCCTCTGCCTCCCACCACCAGCCTCTCAGCTCAGCTCCTCCTCCCTCCTGGTGAATTCTCAGCTTTCTCTGTGACAACAGTGCTAATCCAGTTACCCTTCTGATCCTCCTAAGGACAGCGAGGTTGTTTCTGGGCACCCCAGGGGCCACAGGGACTGTGCGCAGTGAAATGATGGCCGAGTTCAGGAGGATTTGTTCCAGTCAGATGTGGAAATGGATTTTTCTATTCTGGGTGCAGAGGCACGGAGATAAGGGCTCCAACAAGCACTGTGCCGCACAAAGGTTTTTATTCTCATCACGTAGAGATTGGAGCTGCAGGACTAGAAAGGGCCGCAGTGATTTCAGCAGTGTTGTGCAATGCCTCTCCCAGCAAATGTTTGATCACAGAGAAGGGTGTACGAGCTGCAGGGAGCCCACCCTGCTGAGAGTTCGTGTGCACACGTCAGAGAGCAGATACTGAGAGCCATATGCATGCGATGTGTTTGCGTGCATGCAAACGAGTATTTACGTGGCTGCACGTGTGGGTATGTGTGAATGCGTGCATATATATTCACGTCTGTGGGTGCTTTAATCCATGCATTATCTGTGAGTGTATGAGACAAAATTTGGATGAATGCGTGCCCAAGCACAATTTTGCAATCCTAACTGAGGCACAGGGCAGCTTTGGACCCATTAACAGAAAAGGCAGGGTGCTAAGGGGAAGAAGTCCTGCAGCAAGGCAAGGGGGTGAGTTTCCAGTTTGTTACCAGTGCAGCCCACACTTTAATGTAATTGGAAGCTGTTGTTAGGGAGCCAGTGTATTTATAATCAGCAAGGTAATGCAGTGGCTCAGCTCAGCTCAGGCAAGCACAGTAGTGTCCACTTTCTGCTTCAGCTGCTACACAGGACTCTGGAACAAGGGAGTGTGGAGAGGGGTCAGGAAGCAGTTAACCAGTTGTTATAGGGGAAATAGGGGAGCCAGGGAGATCAAGAAATGGAAATACCCGTGAAAAGAAGACGCTTCTGCATCTCTTGAGGATGCAACGGAGAACCAAAATGCTTTATCTGCTCGAACGAGTGGAAAATATGCAAATATTTGCTCATGAAAACTTGGTGTGCTTTGCCTTCCCAAGCATAAAATATGCAAACGTCACGCAGCACACAGCCAGCTCACTCAGATCTCTCACTCAGTGTGTCATGCACAAACACACACACTGGGATGTCAGCGCAGCCAGCTGTGGCATGTCCCTCTCTAACATGACAAAAGAGGACATGCAGGGATGAAATATATATACCTTGACTCATGTGTAGTGTGTGCACAACACAGACATTTCATCTGTGCCCTCTCATGGCTCTTCCAGCTGGCCGAGGAGAGCCCAGCACCCAAACCTGCTGCCACTCACTGGGATGTTATCCCCAGCCACTTTCCGTGTGTCTTTTGGGGACACACAGTCCTGGGTCCCCAAGCTGAGCCCCCCAGAGATCTGTTACTGAAAAAGCATGGTGCTTTGCTGCATTGCTGTGTTAAGAAGCCTGTGCCCTTGCCCTCTGCCTGGAGGCTGAAGTAATCACAGAATCACAGAATGGTAGGGTTGG